CACACACACACACACACACACACACACACACACACACACACACACACACACACACACACACACACACACACACACACACACACACACACACTTAGCAGCATCCATCCACGATAACCATTCCAAACCTATACATACAAATGTTGGAGCTCATTAATAATTCAAATCAATTTCATGTCATTAACTCAATGTCATGTCAGCCCTGTCAGGGGCCCGACTCTGAGGCCCCTAACGCTCGAGGCTCTGACTCTCAGGCCTCTGACTCTGAGGCCCCTGAATGTCGGGCCCCTGACTCTTCCATCTCATGAGCTGTTTGTATGATTGTGAAATCTGCAGCCGTGTTTCTGTGAGGTCCATCACATGCAGAGCTTCTCTCTGGTGTGGTGTTGTGTTGTGTTGTGTTGTGTTGTGTTGTGTTGTGTTGTGTTGTGTTGTGAGTCTGTCCCTCGGCTGCTGATGGTGCTGCTCACTCTGCTGCTGCCTCAGAACGAGAGCGCCATCTGCTGGGCACAAACAGTAACCGGACTCCTCACAACATGTCAGGGGTTTAAATGAACCCGTTTATAAAAAGGATCGATGTGACTTCACCCACACGAACTTTCCTTTCTCTGATTCATTTCAAGGGTGAAAACACATCTTTCTATCTTTCTGTCTTTTATTCAACTTTAAACTCAAATATACCAAAATATATTTCAGTTCAGATTTTGAATTGAGATTTGATATAATTTTATGATTAAAGACTTTCTCTCACACACAAACACACAGAGAACAGACCTGTCAGTCGTTATGGTTAAAAAACAATGGATTGAACGATGTTCGTGTTTTTTAGCATCTGAAGCAGGAAGTTGTGATCTGGTCGCTGGTGACGCACATGAACCAGCAGCTGCTTCCTGTGAGACCTGAGCAACAACGAGCTGACTCCATTCACATGAACATAGTCAAACTAAATTCAATAAATCACCGTTCAGATGAACGAAACGTCGACAACATCACTTTATTAAAATCACATTTACAAAAACAGGAAACTACAGACGACACACGTCATCACGTCAGTGAACAAACACTGAAGTGTCTTAGGAAAGTGCTGCGGACGGAAACTGTCTCAAATATAACGAATAAAACAAACGATCATAACTGTTTGTTACCACTCGACAGGAAATATGTGTCTAGAATATGAGAAATAAATATTTACAACAGAGAAACAGAAGGGATGAGGAGGAGAAGGAGAAAGAAGGAAGAAATGAAATGAGTCTGGAGGAAGATGAGGAAGTTTAAACAGGAATGAAACAACAACTTTTAATTTGAAGTTCTTTACTGAACATTTACTGCTCTTTGTTTTTCCTCAGATGAAAACGTGGGTTCTTGTCAAAGTTCACAACACTATGAACTCTGGGTAATTCCCTGTGACAAACACACTAAAGGTGACTGATGTTTCTTCCTCTGTGGTTCGGGTTATTACCTGAGGCGTCGTCATGACCGCAGGGGGCGCTGTGTTTACCATCAGACTAATGACACCCTGGGGTCGGCACCAGCAGCGAGTGGTCACAGAAATGATCGGAGGTCAAAGGTCAAAATCAAGCTTTTCTCTGACTCTGTAAACAGAAGAGAATTAAAGGATTTGAACCTGGATCGTTAACTGAAGAGATGGAACTCGTTTACTGATGTTTGTGGTTCACAGATTTAACGAGAGGAAGTGATGTAACAAAAGAAGCAACCGGGAGGAGGAGGAAGGAGTCAAGGAAAGAAGGGAAGGATTCAGAGAAGGACGGACGGAAACATCAGTGAGATGATGTTTGAGTTTTGCAACAACACGAGAATCCAAACATCACGAAGGTTTGAAATAAATACTTTAAATGTTGATTTGACCACAGATGACATCACAGAGACAGTTTGATGAATGATGAACCTTTGCAGCGTCTGGAGGGCGAGAAGGAACAAAACCTCCTGTGATGAAGATGATGGATGAAGATCAGCTGTTCGTCGGAGCTGCAAGTGAAGGAGTTGACCTTTGGCGTCGGCTGATTCGTCTCTGTGGCTTCGACCTGGAGGAAAAACATGAAGAGAAGAGAAACGAACAGTGAGACAGAAAATATCAAAGAGGCGGTTGAAGTGGATCCAGGGATCAGTCGGATCCTCTGGGTGTGGCCACTGAGGCCGCTGCTCCTCCGTCACCGGCGGAGGTCACTGCTATCTCTCCCAGACACATGTTAGTTTAACGCTGCTCCTCCGTCCTCACTCTCAGCTCGGCCTTTTCCTTGTTTCTGGATAATCAGCAGCTCCTCACCCCTCTTTGTCCTTCCTGTCCGTCTCCCCCTTTTCCTCTCTATCTGCCGCCATCAAATCAACACCGACGCTCGCCGCCTGTTTATATTTCCAGCGGAGACTCTGATCTCTCGACTCTGAGCTGAACTTAACTCAACCTCTGTGTTTGTTTGGTGAGAAAACAAATTAAACTGTTTTATTCACTGTGATACCGAGTGTGTGTGTGTGTGTTGATAAGGAGACTGGAGCTGCGGCAGGTTTTCTGAAGGTTGGACTGAAGGGAATTTCAATACATAATTCAAATTAGACTGTAAACTACTAATTTAACTGGAAGAGAGAGAATAAATAAAGTGTGGCTGCTTAATAAACTCCTGAGATTTGACAGTGGAAGGTCAGGTGTCTTTATTTTGGAATAATCTCAAATTTAAATTCTGAATAATCACAAATGTGCATCAGAGTTCAGTGTTGACCTTGACATGAAGTTTGACTAATAAATTCTGAACTCAAAGTCAATTTACCAACTTTGTCTTTTATTTTAGTTGTGTTGATGCTTCACAGTGATTACGGACGTTTGACCTCAGAGCTGAACTTCAGGTGTGAACGGTTCCTCAGACCAGAAGAGGAGTTCTGGGTCAAACTGAACCTGGTTCTGTTGGTTCACAGTGAAAACACTTTGTTGGACAGTTTGGACCAATCACAGGAAGTAGAGACACATTAAACCATAGAAGAAGAAGCAGAAGAGGAAGCAGCTGCAGTCTTCACCTCCGACGATGTAATGTTTGAACCACGAGGACGTTCATGTGGTGTGTTTGAACTAGTGTGGTGTACTGTAGTACTGTGGAGTACTGTAGTACTGTGGAGTACTGTGGAGTACTGTAGTACTGTATATGTACAAATATAAGATGTGACTGTTGTCTGTCATGTGTCTCCATGTCTCCATGTCTCCATGTCTCCACGTCCACTGTGCAACTCAGTGTGAAGTGAGACTCTGTCCCTTCTCTGGAAGATATTCAGTTTTGTTCCGGTTCAACAGAAACGTTCACAGAGAAAGTTTCTTTATGTGACGTCTGATTAACACGTCGCTGTCACGGCCGAGCGACAAGCAGCTCGTTTTACTGCTGCCACGTTTGTTTGGATTTCACCGAGCTGCAAAAACACTCGGACACCGGCGGCCCAAATCGCTCGACTCTCCTGGGATCAACCGGAGCAACGAACCAGAGAGGAGAAGAGGAGGCTTCTACACCAGGCAGCCGACCAATGAGGAGCCGCGGGAACATTGTGGTGAGTGTGTGTGTGTGTGTGTGTGTGTGTGTGTGTG